CCCCCCCCCCCCCCCCCCCCCCCCCCCCCCCCGCTGTCAACTCCACTTATGAAACAGAGAAAATTGAGGAGGAAGAGGGATCTTTATTTCAGGCCAGGGAAATCTTATTATTCTCTAAGCTTTTTTGAAGTGATCAGAACACAGAAATGAGAGCTTACCTCTTCCGTCCTCCCTCTATCTCTTCTCTCCTTTCTTCCTTTTTCTTTCCTCCCTTCTTCTCCCCTCCGTTGCGTGTTTTTCTTTTTTTTTTTTTTTTAAGATTTTATTTATTTATTTGACAGAAAGAGATCGCAAGTAGGCAGAGGTAGGCAGAGAGAGAGGGGGGAAGCAAGCCCCCTGCCGAGCAGAGAGCCCAATGCAGGGCTCGATCCCAGGACCCTGAGATCATGACCTGAGCGGAAGGTAGAGGCTTTAACCCACTGAGCCACCCAGGCGCCCCGGCTGCGTGGTTTCTGAAGGATCTATGATTTATCAGGATAGCGTTTCCCAGCTTTGGTTCCATTGAATACCAGCTTCTCCAATTCTGCCTAATATATAACCTACCTCTACTGGTAGTTACTTCATTTTTTAAAAACGTAATTCCCATTGTTTTACTTATATAAAATCGGTCCCATCCTAAAACAGTGAAACCCGTTAAACCAAATTCTGTCTAGTTCTACATTTCCCCCAACACACAATTAAGAGGGAAAAAAATGTTACAAACCAAACTGAACACTACCAGGTACCTAAAGCTCCCTTCTAACTAGAGTTGGTAGAAACTTCAAGGCTTGCCCGGGAGGGGCCTGCAGAGAAGGCCCTCCAAGAATGCTTGCTGGCTGATCACAGTGCCTAATCCCACATCCTTCCAGGTGTTGCTCCAACTTTAGCTCCTGGAGAGATTGTTAAAATATTCCCAGGGTCTCCGACTCACCAGGTCTGGGGTAGGGCCCAGGAGTCTGCCTTTCTAATAAGCTGCCCCAGGTGACGTTGATGCTGCTGGTCTGAGTAGGTCTACTCCTACACCTCCAAGATAAGTAGGTCTTGGGCCACTGGGCATCAAAATCACTTATAGGTGCTTCTTAAGATGCAGATACCTGGGGGGTGCCTTGGGGGCTCAGCTGGTTAAGGGCCTGACTTTTGATTTCCACTCAGGTGATGATCTCAGGGTCGTGAGATTGAACCCCACGTCAGGCTTGGGGTTCCCATGGAGTCTGCTTGTCCCTCCCTCTTCTCCTCCTGCTTGCATTCTCTCTCTCTCAAATAAATAAAATCTTAAAAAAAAAAAAAAGATGCACTACCTGGGTACTACCCACAAAACATTCTGATTCTTCAGGAGGCGGTTCCCCGGAATCTGCCTTGTCAACCAGCTCTCCAAGGAACCTCTGGAGACCACCTCTGAGAAAACTTGGAGGGAGGTGGCCCACCTTCAAAGTCTACAAATCAGGGACAACTCCATCCCTTTGCTTGGGCCCCAAACCTTAGCACACTCTAGACTTCCCTGTTTCCCTCCTAGCCTCCACTCAGTGGGTCAGCAAATTCTACTGGCTCATCTTTCAAAACATATCCAGATTTTCTTTAAAAGACTCTAGCACATGGACTTGGGGATGGAATGGTAAATGAAACAAGATTGGTAAAGTGTTGAGGATCGTTCAACCCGGGAATTCATTTCATTACTCACAATTTTTATGTAGATTTGAGTTCTTCCATAATAATATTTTATCTGTAAGTCTTTGATGATCTAAAATCCATTTCTAGGAATTTATCTTAATGAACATTTTAGATACAGAAAAAAGAAGTGCAAATAAAAGTATTACTCAAATAATAATAGAGGAAAAATTGGGAACATACTAAGTTCTCCTAATAGGACAATAAACTGTGGGACACTCATCATTGGAAACTTGTCATTAAAAACATTTATTCAGGCCACGTACCAACATAGAAAATGTGATATACTATTAAGTAAAAAACATTAAATTGTTTATGCTGCATGATTAAAACTATACAAAGACTCCTACATTTAAAAAAGATTGTAATTTAATAGGGTGCCTGGCTGGCTCAGTCAGAACATCTGACTCTTGATCTTGGGGCTGTAAGTTTGAGCCCCACGTTGGGTGTAGAGATTACTTAAAAATAAAATCTTAAAAAAATAAAAAAGTTTGAACTTTAAAAATAATTTTATATATCCAGAATCAGCCCACTTTCTACTATCTTCAACGCAATGACCTTCGTGTGAGCCCCACGATCTGGCCTGCATCCTTGCTTCTACCCCTCCCATCTTTTTACCATGTGGCAGCTGGGGGGGGGGTGTCCTTCAAACTATAAGAAGATCATGACCCTTTTCCATTCAGAATCCTGCAAAGGCTTCCCATTTCTCCAAATACATCTTGACTTTATCACTGCCCTCCAAGATATAGGACCTTGCCTGCTCTGTTCCCTGCCTTGCTCTGACTACTCCAACCACATTGGCTTCCTTGCCATGCTTCACTCACTCACTCACTCACTCTAGCTTCAGGACCTTTGCACCTGCTGTTTTCTCTGCCTGGAATGTGCTGCCTCCAGGTACCTGAATGAGTGATCCCCTCCTTCCTCCTGCTGGCTCTTCAGAGAGGCATAACGTGAACTCCTCATCCAAACCAGCACTGCTCCCTCTCTCAACTCCCTCATACTCTTTATTTTTCTCCAGAGCAGTTACTTGGTACCCTCCCTGTTACTTTTGTTCATTGTGTCCTATGCTTAATACAATGCAAATCCCTTGAGAACAAAGGAGTTCTGATTCTCTGCTGAATCCTTGTACCTAGCACAGTGCCTGGCACATAGCAGGTCATTTGAATGAAAGAATGGTGGACTAAATAACTACTCCGAAGAACTGTGAGCTTCATGTGGGCTTTCTTTCCTGGGGGTATCTCTCCTTCCCCAAAACCTCCTGGCAGTGACAAACCCATAGACAGCAGGAGCCCACTAAGAACTAAAGTGGCTGACGGTTCTCCCACCAGAGGCCTACACACACACACACACACACCTGTGTAAAGTGCATCCTGTGACGTGGTGGCCACAGGGTGTGCAGCTAACGGTCATGGCTTTGGAAGGGCTGATGCCGGCATACCACCACCAGCTATGTAGCCTTGAGAAAATGATGAGAATTTTCTGAGTGTTAGTTTTTCCTTGTGCAGAAGGAGAAGGATAGTAACAGCTTCTACTCCCGAGGGCTGGAGTCGGGACTCAATTTCCATAAAGCATTTAACAAGCACAGTGCCTGGCACAGAGTAGGTGTGCGACAAGAGACCCTCAAATTAATCACCAGTCATTTATGTGCCTTTGGCTCTTTCCAGTTTATAAAGTGCTCTTATGCCTGCTTTATCTGATGGGAACCTTTCAACAACCCTGTTGGTTTTATCACCATTTTTATAGGTGAGGCACCTGGATCAAAGTGCTCGCCTATGGACACAACTGAATCTGACTACACCCCCGGACCCTCTTGTCCAGAAATACACCTGTTATCACTGCCAGTGCTAACCAAAGTGGTCTGGACAGCCCACTAGAGCCCCCAGACTCTAAACTGTGTGCCTAGTGTGAGCCTGTGATGGGCAAATACATTCAGCAAACAAAATCAGCCAGTGAGCCAGACCTTCCCAACAACCCCACGGAGGCGGGGGTGCATAGGCTGCCGCACCTCTAAATGAAGCCTGCAAACAAGTCTGGACAGACAAGCCATCTCTCAGAGTCCACCCAGGATTTAGAACACAAAAACACAAAAGCCCTTTCTCTAGTTTCTCCGTTTCCAGTTGGGCAGCAGCTCTGAGCAGCAAATGCCACCTTTAGTGTTTGAGACCCTTGTTGCTCTGCCACCTCTAGCCTACTCTGCCTTGACAGAGACAGTGTTTCTTCCCAAAGGGAACCCGAGGGGGAGGCCCTGCATGGACCTCTGGGCCTGGCTCACATCAGTTTCCTCCACCTTTCTAGGACTGAAGGCCAAGGGAAGTCACGTGGTGGGGAAGAGACCAGCAGGTGTTAGGCGTGAATTTTAGAACCACAAGGCCAAAACACCACACAGTCTTGGGAGTCATAGATTATCACAGCTCCAGCACCTGAGAAACAGAGAAACTCACAACTTAATACCTTAAGCCTCATGGGGTTGGCAGAGATTCCCCTGGACAGGAAGGGGCAGACTGGGAATCTGATGGCTTCTGGGTCAGGGGCATCTCCCGCCTGGTCAGAGGCTTAGCCAACAGGCCCTGCTGAGAATACAGCCTGAGGGCTCCAGCCCCAGGAGGGAGGCTCAATGGACAGGTCTTGGATAGCAACTTAATGGCAAAATTCTACAACCAGGCCCTGTGGGAGACAGATGAAAGGGGAGAGGCAGGCTTCAGAAGGATGCTGCCAGGCCATCCAGCCAGGCCAACCAGCCCTGGCCCCTGGGTGCGCCAAGATCTCGATGGAGCCAGGTTTGTGGCAGGCACCAATCACTAGGAGACTCTGACAGCAACACCATGATGGTCTGGCTCGATGGCACTTGCTCCTTGCTTGGAACATGGTGTGTGAGCAGCACTGTGTCAGCACAGCACTGCACAGCAGCCTGATCGATAACTTCCATTTGCATAGTGTTCACAATGGAGATGCGCGCTCATGCCCCAAACCCTGGAAATGGCCTCGGAAAATGGGTTGACAATGGCTCTGGCCAAGCAGTAGGGGTGGCTCTGGCCTGGTCTAAGGGCTACTTTGGGTCATCTGGAAAAAGGATCAATACAACCACTCCACCCCTGGCTTCATCCTCATTCAAGGTCACTTTAGGTATCTACGTTAATGAACTTCACTGATTTTTAAAAATGACGGAGAGTTCTTGGGTAATCATGATCTCATATTAAAACTATAAGAATCTCTGTTGCTCTCTCTATAAAAAAATCACTGAAGAGATTAGCCCCCCAGGCTGCTCAGAGCAGGGCAGACCAAAAGACAGAGGTTGGACTGCTTTGCCAGTGTGCGAAATCCCAGGAGAAACAGCAGGAGGCACACGGAGAGTAGAGATGCTCTGGCTCCAGAAGCCTGAAAGCTCTGTGCCCTGGGAGATGGAGTCCTCCTCCAGAAGTCCCGGGTGCTTTTCTGTCTCTGGCAGGAGAGCAGAAGAGCTTGTACTCTTGGGAATCAGTGCTGGGAGCACTGCTGGCTGTGAGGCCTGGCAAGTGGGACCAGCTCAGACTGGTTATGTGCTCCAGCCAGGATCAGAACTCATCCCGCAGCTGAGGGGGCTTGTCCATGCCGAAGAAAGAAGATGGCTTCCCCTGGAGGTCCCGTTCCCGCTTCACGAAGGCAGTGAAGGAGGAGACACAGTTGCCAATAAAGTGGTCAGCTTGGCCAAGGATGTACAGGTCAATCTGGGCCACTTCAGGCTTCAGGCTCACCACTTTTACCTGCAGGAGGAAGGGCAGAAGGTTTTCACCAGGGAGCTGACCAGTTCGGCCAAGGCCTGCAGCCATACCCTCCCTCAGCTTTCTTCCCCTGAGTGGAAAGGACACACACAAAAAGTGGGGCAGAGAGGATTAAGACCTGGGGTCGGGCATTCTGGCAGCAGTATTGTCCAGCAGCTGGGGAGAGGCAGAGGGAGAGGGAGAAGCACATGAGGCTCGCTGAGTCAAAGAAAGACATGAACTCGGGCGCCTGGGTGGCTCAGTGGGTTAAGCCGCTGCCTTCGGCTCAAGTCATGATCTCAGGGTCCTGGGATCGAGCCCCGCATCAGGCTCTCTGCTCAGCAAGGAGCCTGCTTCCTCCTCTCTCTCTGCCTGCCTCTTTGCCTGCTTGTGATCTCTGTCAAATAAATAAATAAAATTTAAAAAAAAAAAAAAAAAGACATGAACTCATGACCTGAGCCAAAGGCAGATGCTCAAACCACTGAGCCATCCAGGAGGCCTCTTAAATGGTGCCCTACTGCTCTTCACATGAAGATGACAAATCTTGAATGGGGCCTACAAAGCCCTGTTCAAGTCACCTCTTCACCTCTTATTCTCACCACTACCCACCAGGCTCCCTCCTGCCTCAGGACCTTTGCATGTACTCTCCCTCTGTTTGGAGTGCTCATCTTTTTGTCTGGTTAATTCTTACTTAACCCTCACTCTGCAGCCCCAGTCTCACCTCTGTGGACCTTGATCTAGGGCAGAGTTCTATGCTCTACATTCTCCCAGAACCACCTTCCTTTACTTTGGAGCATACATCTGTTTGTAGTTTCTACTCTGATTAAGATCGGTCTCCTGCATCTGATGGGGTTAGGGGTGTGGCAGTCTTCTGGTCACTGCTGGCTGGGACCAGCCTGAATAAACATCCACTGACTGGACAAGTGAATAAGTGAGCCCCTGCCCCTACGTGAGCTCCTGGACCTCTCATGCAGCATATATCAGAGTTCTGCGCAAAGTCTCTTTTCCTGAGTCTAGACTGGGAGCTGTACAGGGCAAGACCACATCTTACTTATCAGTATCTCCAGCTCGGCAGGGCCCCAGCTTAAATGAGGAGCAACGATAGGCTCTGAGCCCATGGAGAAAGGGGCTGAGGAGTGGGGAAAGGCAAGAACGTGGCACAAGAAAAGGAAAGAGAAAATGATAAGAGGCTCAAGGTGTAACAAATATATCAACTCTAAAAACTCACAAAAAAAACTCCCTGGGACTCTCCAAATGCTTCAACTTAGTACAGAGGTGGGGGTGTGGGCAGAGCTGGGGCTGAAAGTGCTTTGCTGTCACACAGAGATTTCTGATGTAACAAAAATCATCATCTTGCTATGTGGATGGTAGCAAAGAAATAATACTAGTTTAATCACGGCCAAAATCCCCGAGCAATTCCACCTACTCTCTGAAACTTACCCGCTCTGTGTCATGCCCACTATAATTAGCTCTGAGACCTCTTGGGTAAATTCTATCCCTTCTCCGGAGTTTGGTTTCCTCAACTAGATTATGCAGGGGTTGGGTTGGAGGAGCCCCGAGGGCTCCTGGCTCTGAGGGTCTTCTACAGAGTGGGTGGGAGGGAGGCCGGCCGGGATGCTCGGCGTCAGCACCTTCTCTCCAAGTCAGGGCTTCCAGCCTGTGTCTGGGGTAAAGGGAGAACAGGGCCCCTCACATAAAGCCATGGGTTCTCACTGCTAGAAAATAAACCTTTTAAGGTCTGTGCAAGCATTTAGGGCTTTCATTCACCCACGAAATCTTACTGAATGCTTACCATTAATTCAATCATTTCATTGACACATACTTACTTATTACCTACCCTCCACTGATATGGTACCAAACACATCCACTCGTTATTCACACACTGAGTATGTACTATTCGCCACTTCCTTGAGCACTTACTAAGCACAAAGAGCCTTCCCTTTATTCGTCAGTCACTGACTCCTACTATCAGTAACCGCTAACATTACTGAGGACTTGTTTTGTCCTGAAATTGTTTTAGTTTCTTCATATCTGATCTTCACAACCGCCCAGTGAGACAGGACTGCTCTCAGTCCCACTTTACAGAAGAGGGAACAGAAGCACAGAGAGGTAAAGTAACTTGCACAAGATGGCACAGTGAGTAGCGCCCACGTTCTCTGGCTCCCGAGTTCAGGCCCTTAATCTCTCTGCTACGCCGGATTTCTCCCGAGGGCCCACTCTTTACGTGCTTATTCGAGTTGTTGAGCGTCTACCGTGGTAGGCACTGTCCTAGACATTGGTGTAGGCAAGGCCCCCAGGTGCTGAGGAACAGAACAGTGAGTCAGCCTTGGACTCTGCCTTTAAGGAGCCACAGCTCTTGGGAAGAAGGCCGTGTTTCTGGCCTCACACAGACTCGACAGTGCCTCCAGAGCAGATGTGATAAAATCCTGTGATGGTTCCAGAAGGGACATATTGGCTATAAGAGGGCAGGGAAATCTGGAGAGAAGGTGCCAAGATGTTTGGGCCGGGGTTTGAAGGAAGGATAGGAACCAGAGCAGAGGTGGACATCTAAGTTGGGAGGACATGAAGCATGTAGAGGGAGTGGTGGGACCACCCTGGAGCTTTCTTCAATTCCCTTCCCCTTACACCCCCGTTGGGACCATACACACCTTCTCTTTAAAGAGCTCTTGGATCTCGGGCATGTAACTCTCGGAATCCGTGGCGATGTAGACTGACTGGGCATTCAGCGTGTCCACCCAGAGCTTCACAGCCCGTCTGATTTCCTTCAGGTCAGGGAGGCACATGGTCACGGTGAGAGGGGCAGCCGTGCTGCGGCTGTAGCCCACACACTGTGGGGAGGCCATGAAATGCGAGCCTGCAGTCCCATCCTTCAGCATGGCGCAGGCATTCTTCTGCAGGGTTGCAGGGGGACAGGGTTAAAGACGGCAGCGGGGCCGGGACCCCAGAAGCAAGAGCCACTGAGTGGCTATACAGAAGATCAGAAGGCTATACAGAAGATCAACTATGTTTTTAAAAAAAGTATTGAGGGAAGAGGGAAATACATCAAGACAGTAACAGTGGCTGTCTCTGTGTAGTGGCATACCAGCTTTCTACAAAATATTTTTTTCTTCGTCTTACTGTATTATCTGGGACCTCCAGTAGAGTTCTGAACCGCGGTGGTGATAATAGGCAGCCTTATCTGATTTCTGACTTCAGTGGGAACACTTCTGATAGCTCCCATGAAGCATGTTTGCTGTGGGTTTTGGAGAGATAGGCTTTATCAAGTTAAGGTGGGTCCTTTCCATTCCCAGTTGGTTAAGAGGTTGCCTTTTTTTTTTTTTAAATCATGAATGAGTGTTTATCAAATGCTTTCTTGGCCTCTACTGAGATGATTATACGATTTTTCCTCTTTGGGTGCTAGTATAGTGAATTTCGTTGCATTCCAGGTATGAAGTTTACTTGTATCATATGCTCTTTAATATGTTACCGGAATTTACTTGCATCTGTGCATCTATGTTTGTGAGAAAGAGCTCTACTCTTCTGAACTGACCTTATCCAAGTTTGGTTTAGTGTTCTGCTAGCTTTATTAAAAATAGCACCTTATATCTTTTTATGTTCTTAGCATGTATACATGGAAAACTGTTTCTTAAAGGTTTAGCTGAGACCACTCATAAGATATTCTGGGCCCAGATATACTGAGCCTCGCTCCTTTTCTTTATGGAAGGAGGGCAGGGAGGGAGTCAAGTGCATAAACATGTGACTACAGTTCACCCTTGAACAACACAGGGCCTAGGGGCTGCCATCCCCTACCCCGTGCAGTCAAAGCCCTGTGTATAATTTTTGACTTCCCCCAAACTTAGCTACTAACAGCCTACTGTAGACCAAAAGCCTTAATGATAACATAAAGAGTTGATAAACACATATTTTATATGTTACATGTATCACATACTGTATTCTTACAATAAAGAAATCTAGAAACAAGAGAAAGTTACTAAGAAAGTCATAAGGAAAAGAAAACCCACGTACAGCACCTCCTGTAAAACCTCATCGGCATGTTCAGGGGCCCACGCCATCTAAACCCATGTTGTTCAAGGGTCAACCATACCTCCTCGATTGACTCTGAGTGGATTTTGACCTAATTTCTATCCTTTGCAGTATTTTGCAAGTCTTCAACGATGATCATTTCTAACATACACATATACATACATCTTCTTACGTAAGTTAAGGAGACTATCTACAGTTCTCCTGTTATTTTTACACAAAAGATAATCTGATGAGGTTTCTGCACATTTAAGCAGCCTCCAAATTTGGAGGATGACATCTTCAGTTCCTGGGGGCCCCACCCAATCTCCAGAGCCTGTTTTTCAACAAAGAGTCTACTGGCTAAACACTGAGCTGGACCACAGGACTCCTGGGCTGTGGGTCTCTCTCTGGCTGGCTGCCTGACTTGGAGTCTAGCCTGATGTTTATTTATCCATCTGCAAAATAAGGACGAAAATGGCAATTGTTAAAATGAGGGCTGGCAAGCAAGCACTCTGGAGCCGCATTTCTGATGTGTCTAAGGCGGGATCGTGGAACATAGCCCTGTGGACTTGGCTGAGTGAGACCTCTCTGCCCTGGCTGGGACTCGGTGCAGTGGGTTCAGGGTTCAACACCCACAGGCATGGGCCCTAATCAGGGACACGTCCAAGCCAACCCTGAGAGGAAGGGAGAAATTACCCAGTCAGAGCCAATGCGCAGATGAATGCCCACGTAAGGTCGGATGAGGTGGGTGTGGATGTGGGCCTCTCCCGTCCTCACCATCTCATCTGACCACACCATGTATTTCTGGAGTGGCCTGTGCTCCTCCAGGACAGGGAACTGGGCCGGGGCCCCTGGCAGGGCTAACACTGGATGTTCCTTTGCAGAAAATCTAGGCATGAGACAGAATGAGGGGAAGTCAGACAGAGGACACACAGACAGCCTGGCCGCCGCCCCCACAGGACAAAGGATGGTGTTGCGCCATGCCCCACAGACCCTGCAGAGGGGCCCCTCTAACGTGCAAGAAGCACGAGAGGCTGAGAAACCCCAACAGGCTGATAAGGAACCGTGGCAGCGACAACAGGCACCATATACAATACTGTCCCTTGGCACGGAATTTACAACCCTCTTTGCTTGCTTAACAATTAAAAATTTACAGTAGAGCATTCCAACCTTTTGTATGTCATGCTGGTTTCCAGTCTGTGGTGTGGTAATTCACTCCGGGGTGGGGTGTCTGGACCGCGCCTCTGCCCTTTTACCCACATGGCGGGACCGGGACATGCCACAGCTTCCAGAGGGCCGTGGACAGATCAGGCTCACAGGGAATGTGTACTCACTGGGTGAGGCCATTCACTCAACATTTAACATATATTGGTTGACTGCCTACTGTGTGCTGGGGCCCAGGTGAGAACAAGACAGGCATGGTCGCTGCCCTCATGAAAAGCATCTGCCATCTGTGGACGCCCTTGTCGTACCCTCCCGAAGGCTCTCCTTCCCCCTTGCACACTATGCACTTTGCAATTATCTTCCCCTGTCTTTTCTGTAGGACACAGTCTTTTGAAGGCAGAGCCTCTATGAGCCTAGGACAGTGTCTGGCACATGTCAGAGCTCAGTGAATATTTGCTGAGCGAATGAGTGAGGAGAGAGCCCGTGCTCCCTCTTCAGCTAAATCCAGAGTCTGTCCTAGCAACACGAAACATCCTGATGGTTCCATCAACTCGAACGCACTTTCAAGCTCCAGATCTCTGTATGCTTCTTGCCTTGACCTGGACTGCCTTCCCTCTGTCTGGGAAATTGTGAAATCAGGGGCGCCTGGGTGGCTCAGTGGGTTAAGCCGCTGCCTTCGGCTTGGGTCATGATCTCAGGGTCCTGGGATCGAGTCCTGCGTCGGGCTCTCTGCTCAGCGGGGAGCCTGCTTCCCTCTCTCTCTCTCTCTCTGCCTGCCTCTCTGTCTCCTTGTGATCTCCCTTTGTCAAATAAATAAATAAAATCTTTAAGAAAAAAATTGTGAAATCAGCACGGCCACTCTGGAAAACGGTTTGGCAGTTTCTTGTAAAACCAGAACACAGTTACCATATGCCCCGGCAATTGTCCTCTTGGGCATTTATCCCAAACCAACGAAAACCCATATTCACACATGAACCAGGAGACGAACGTTCGTTCATAGCAGCTTTGCTCATGATAGCCCCAAAATGGAAACAGCTCTAACGTCCAAGAAGTGACTAGCTAACTAAACCATGGCGCAACCCCGCATGGAATGTGACACGGCAGTAGCAAGGAACAAACCACTGAGACAGGTGACAATGTGGGATGGCCCTCAAGGGAGCTATGCAGAGAGAGAGAGAGGCCAACCCCTCAATCTTACATACTGTGTGATTTCTGAAATGACATAATGGAGAAGAGGACATTTCTGAAATGACATAATGGAGAAGAGGACAGAAGTGGAGAAGAGGTTAGTGGTTATCGGGGGGGTGTGCCTGTGGTGTGTGCACGCGCATGGTTAAGGACATGGGTGTAGTCACATCTTGGTCACAGAGAATCCTCGTGAAGTTAGAACCGTTTGGGTATTTTGACTGTCGTGGTTACATAAGCCTAAATGTGCATAAAATTGAACAGAACTACACACACACGCACACACGCACATGCAGAAGTGAGTACAAGTAAAACTAGGACAATCTGAATACGATGGGTGGATTGTATCAGTGTCAACATTCTGGTTGTGATGCTGTACTACAGTTTTGCAAAATGCCAGCACTGGGAAAAACTGGGTAGAGGGTATCTGGGAATCTCTTTGTTTCCTTTCTTTCCTTCTTTCTTTTTTCCTTCCTTTCTTCCTTCTTTCCTTCCTTCCTTTTTTTTTTTTTGTCTTTGTATTATTTCTTACAACATGTGAATCTACAATTACCTCAATAAAAATTTCAATGAAAAGCTGTTAAATATCTCAAAGCATACAGAAAAATACAATAACTTTACAACCCACATACCTATGACACAAATTAGCAGATATTAATACTTTGCTGGGTCTCAGATTTTTTAAAAAAGAGACACTGAAATAAAAGGTCTATCTTGTCATCTTTCCCTCCTTTACTTCCTCCTCCCAGAAGATATGGTGGCTTTATGCATGACTACACTTTTACTATTTATACAAAAAGGTATTATTCTGTGTGCTTTTCACACACTGTAATGGCACAGGCCCAGGCTACCGAGCCAGACGGCCTTGTGCTTGTGTTGACTATGGCACCTGCTAACTTGGACAGGTGACGTACCCATTCTGTGTGGCAGTTCCCTTATCTGTATAACAGAGCTAATAATAGCTCCTGACTCGCAGGACTCTTGAGAAGATTATACGGATTAATCAGGCAAAGACTTTAGACAGTACTCGGCACACAGAAAGCTCTTAAGAAATTCTGACTATCACTATCACCATCATTGTCCTACTGCACGAAACCACTCCAAGTCTTTAGAAATTCAACTTCATGCTTTACAGACTTGGACACGTTGACCATGTTCGCTTCTAAGTTCTCCATTTTGCACGAGTAAGCACAGCAGTGCTGCAGTGGGCACGCCCCTTTCTTCACACCCAGCCCAAACACCTCGTTCTATAGACACCTCCCAACCCTCCAAGACCAGCTGCCACTCTCAGGCCCCAGCTCCTACGGGAGGGCTCCCTGTCCCACTTCTCCTTTGCTGCCTTCTGCCCACCGATGTGCTCCACAGCCATCTCCCCCGCTCCACCATCAGCCCACAAGGGTAGGGGCCTGGGCCGTTCCACTCACCACAGTTCACACACACACTGGTCCAGGGCTTGTGTCAAGGAAGCAATAAGCAAGTGCTCGCTGACATCCTGGCTCTGCACGACACTCGTTTCATTACAATAATCTTACACGTACACGTATGGGAATCAAGTATCGAGCCTTATTACGTGACCGGCAACGTTCTGCTTGCTTTACGTGTGTGAATGCATTTGGTTCTCACAGGAGCCCGGTGAGGTAAGCACTATTGTTATTCTCCTTTCACAGATGAGGAAATGGAGGCACAGAAAGGTCATGCAACCAGGAATTGGTGGAGCTGAGATCTGAAACCAGGCAGTATGCTCTGGAACCTGGTGTTCTTAACTATGTCCCTCACTCCCAACTCCCCCACCGCCATCAGTGAGGCCCTCAAAAGCAGAGTCTGCATCCTCTGTTTCTGATCTGTAGCCCCTAGCACAGGCCTCAGCACACAGTGGGTACAATCGATACTTTTAGAATGAATGGTTGAGGGAATGAGAAGCATTCATGGGTCTTACCAGAAACACCAGGCCAGGTTGTCAGGGTCAGCAGAAGAAGCAGCGCATATGAGCTGAACACCTACCACCGGGCCCTCAGCCAAACTCCTTTCCAATGTCACCTCAGAAGATTTTGAAAGGAGAAAGCCAGAGTTTGTGATCTCCCGGGTGGTGCAACCACTAGGACAAATCGGGAACTGTGCGCTCTCTGACCTCTTGGAGAGAACCTGCAGTTAACCCGTGGTGAATTCTAGATTCAGAATGTCCATCCCCTGTCCCTATATCCGGATCAGTACGTGGCTGCCCCACTGGGATATCAGCTCAGACCTGATGAGCATCAGGAGTCCCAGACTGATGTGTTCATTTACTCCCAATGAGAGAGGAGAGGGCTGGCTGTTTGGAAAGAAAGGGAGTGCTAAGGGTGTTGTTTGGAAAGAAAGCCTCAGCAGTTCTATCCGCCCCTGAGCGCCCTAGGTCAGGCCCTTAGCCTGGTCAATGTCCAGCTGAAAAAGGCATATGCCCTTGCTGCTGGGTGCAGTGAACCTCTGGGGTTCCTCCCCTCCACCCCTCAACTACTGAGATGCCTCTGCCCAGCTGAGGTTTCTCTACGCACAGCATCTGCTCATGCGCCCAGAGCACACATGTGGGGCAGTACATGAACACCACACTGAGTGCAAAGGATGCAGGGACATGAAGGAGGCAGGCTCTTGTCTCAATGTCCCTGTCAGGAAGGACTATCTTTCTCTCCCACTCTTTGCAGAAATGGCTCCTCAAACTTCGGGTCTCAGTCTGGTCCCAGCCCTGCCAATTACATGTCACTTGTTTATGGCCTCTGAGGAAGGCTGCAGCCTGGGAGCTCCGTAACGATAAGGGCTGGCAGTGGAGCAGGGGAGATGGCTGTGGAGCACATCAGTGGGCAAAAGGCAGCAAAGGAGAAGTGGGACAGGGAGCCCTCCCGTAGGAGCTGGGGCCTGAGAGTGGCAGCTGGTCTTGGAGGGTTGGGAGGTGTCTATAGAACGAGGTGTTTGGGCTGGGTGTGAAGAAAGGGGCGTGCCCGCTGCAGCGCTGCTGTGCTTACTCGTGCAAAATGGAGAACTTTGAGAGAAGCGAACACGGTCAACGTGTCCAAGTCTATAAAGCATGAAGTTGAATTTCTAAAGACTTGCAGTGGGTTTCATGCAGTAGGACAATGATGATGGCGATAGTCAGGATTTCCTAAGAGCTCCAAATACCAGCTAACTTCATGCCATGAGAATGGTTCAGCATGAGGACTCATGGTCTTTCAACATTTGATGTGTGATCACTATCTACTGAATTAAACCTCCGCCAGGGTATTCACAGACTCAGAAGCAGCAGAGCTAGAAGTATTCTTAGAAGTCACCTAAGTGGGGAAGAAATGCCTCTTTATCCTCTTCTCCTGGAATTAGCTGGACACATGACAGCCCCCAAAGAAAGAGATTTCTATGTACCTCTCGCAGTTAAGGTATGGCGACCATGTGTCTAGGAACTAGCCAACGAGATGCAAGAGGGTTATATGGGACTTCTAGAAAGGTTCCTTAAAAAGGGGAGGCTGTGCCCCCCTTCTGCCCTTTTTTCCTTCTAGCTGCCTGGGGCAAGGTTTTAATGGCTAAAGTTTCATCAGTCCTGTGAGAGGACACTGAAGATAAAAGCTGGTACTGGGACGGCTGGGCGGGGCAGGGAGCCTGAGCCCTGACCACACAACGGAGCTGCCATCCAGGAGCGGGTTGCAGACCCAGTACTTCTCCTCCTTAAGAAAACAATACATTTCTATCTTCTTAATCTGCTACTATTTGGGGTTTTCTGTAACATGTAGCTTAAAGTAAGCTGGTATACCTAGACCTGTGGCCATCCAAACATTTTGTTGACATACAAGAGGATTACTGGTTAAAGGTGGTGGGAAGGAACCTGAGCCCCTCCAAGCTGGCCCTGCGTTGCCAGCCTCATGGCACTAGAGGCCCTTCTCAAGAATTGAGGAACAGTACAGAAACCACAGACCTTGGTCACCCTCTTCATTTTAGAGATGGAACGCTGGCCAGAGAAGGGAAGCAATATACCTCGTCCCACAGTGAGCCAGGGAGGAGCCTGGCCCTTTCCAATGCCACTCTCCCTACGCCCATACCCCTGTCCCCAGAGGACACCTTTCTACAACAAGCGAGTGTCCACTATTTTAGAAAATGTTTAGAATATATACGATCTCCAGCTCCCTCCTACAAAGCACTCAGGCTGCTTATCAGGGCCTACAGAGCCCCGTGTGGTCTGAACCCTGCCACTTCTCCAAGCTCCGCACCTGTGTAAAAGATTAATTCTTCAAATCTCCCCTCTTTAGATGGGCTCTATGTTCCCTCCCAACTGTATGAAGCAGAAGTGACTCTGTCCCAGTCACCAGGCCCAGATTCTAGGGGCCAGCAGTGTCTACTTCCCATCTCTGGAAACATTCACTCCCTGGTTGTACCCTCTCAGAACTTGGCTGATATGCTGTCAGAAGTCCAAGCCACATGGAGAGGCCAAATGTATTCACATCAACCAACTGCCCCAGCTGAGCTCCCCGAGGACAGCCAGCATTACCGGCTAGCCATGAGCGAGCTCTCTTGGACATGCAGCCCAGCTGGGCTTCCAGACTCCAGCCTCCGCTGATAGCTGACTGCGACCACATCAGACCAAAAGCAAGAAGTGCCCAGCTAACCCAAGTGTCCATCAACAGATGAATAGCTAAACAAAATGTGGTCTGTGCACATAATGAACTATTCAGCCTCAAAAGGACTAAAATTTTGATACACAGCACAATGCAGATAAGACCGGAAGACAGTATGCTAAGTGAAATAAACCAGACACAAAAAGACGAATATCATATCCCTCCACTTATATGAGACCTAGAATAGGCAGAGACAGAAATCAGAGACAGAAAAGTTGAGAGGGATGGGGCGGGGGGTGTGGGAGAACGGGGAGAAGCTGTTTAATGGGTACAAACCTTCTGTCTGGAGTGATGAAAACGTTCTGGAGATGGAAGGTGGTGACTGCTGCACACAACATGGCACAGTCCTTAATGGGACCGAATGTACACTTAAAACAGTGGTCACAAAAATAACAAAATCACACACACACACCCCGGTAACCACTTTTTGAAATCTTATGTTTATGTTTAGAACTGATCCTGCCAGCAGTATTTTCTAATCTGGTAAATATTGGTATTAATTCCTCCTCAGAAGACACAGTTAAGTAATACTCGATCACAAACCAAACCCAGTAGTTTCACATTAAGCTAATCTGTACAGGTGTGTATAAAAGTACGTGGAGGATCGAAGTACATACACCAAGCTGCTAAGAGTGTTTTTTGAAGGGGGGGGGGGAATGGATTACGAGTAAATGTAATCCTTTTTTTTTTTTTTTTTTTTAAAGATTTATTTATCTGAGAGAGAGTGAGAGAGAGCATGAGAGAGGAGAGGTCAAAGGGAGAAGCAGACTCCCTATGGAGCCGGGAGCCCCGTTGCGGGACTCCATCCCAGGACCCTGGGACCATAACCTGAGCCGAAGGCAGTCACCCAACCAACTGAGCCACCCAGGAGCCCCTGTAATTCTCTTCTTTATTAAAAATTTAAAAATCTCCCACCAAATCTGTGGTGGGTTCTAAAGAATATTTATACCAAGAAATGAGATGCTTAACATGGATGGAAACTGCACAGTTGGGATTCTGGAAAGAAGAGGGAGAACCAAAAACCGGAAGGACTGCCTCACTGAGCACCACCAACCTAGGCAACTCGGAAATAACTGCCCGCTGCTGGGGAACTGCTCCCAAACTGGCTTATTATGCAGTAACAGATGATGGAACAGTCCCCACTCTCCTCCTCGCTCACTCTACACCAGCCACACTGGCCTTCTGTCGGCCCCTCCACCACACCAAGCCTGTTCCAGAGCCTCTGTGCTCCATGTCCCCGCCAGGGAGAACTACCCTTCCCTCCAGTTTTTCCCACGGATGGCTCCTTCTCTTCAGGTCTCCCATGGACTGAATGTTTGTGTCCCACCCCCGCCCCACCCCTCCGATTCATAGTTGAGGTCCCAATCCCCAAAGTGATGATATTAGGAGGTAGGGCATTTGGGAGGCAATAAAGTTTAGTTGAAGTCATAAGGGTAGAGCCCCCATGATGAGATTAGTGCTTTGTAAGTGAGCCTCCTCTCTCTCCAACATGTGAAGGCACAGCATAAAGGCAGCAAGCAAAAACCACCAGAATCCAACCATGGTGGCACCCTGATCTCGGACTTCCCAGCCTCCAGATGCACAAGAAATAAACGTGTTGTTTGAGCCTTCAGGCTCTGCTATTTTGTTACAGCAGCCTGAGCTGACTGAAACAAGGTCTCAATCCTCCAGTCACACATCACCTGTTTACGTCCTTCATGGCAGGCACCACAGCTTCTGAAAACAAGGAGGTGATCAAACGGAAATGCCCATCTGAGATTAGCCACGAGGGACGAGTAGAACCTGCCTTGACTGAGTATCCTCAGTAGCTCCCGAATTAGCTCAGGAATCCCAAAGGGGAATTGGCAGCTGTTACTGGCACAGCTACTGTCCAAGGTGATTAAGAATGGGTGCTCCTGGGGCGCCCGGGTGGCTCAGTGGGTTAAAGCCTCTGCCTTCGGCTCAGGTCATGATCCCAGGGTCCTGGGATCGAGCCCAGCATCGGGCTCTCTGCTCAGCAGGGAGCCTGTTTCCCTTCCTCTCTCTCTGCCTGCCTCTCTGCCTACTTGTGATCTCTGTCAAAAAATAAATAAATAAATAAATAAAATAAAATCTTCAAAAAAAAAAAAAAAAGAATGGGCGCTCCAGAATCAGACTGCCTGGGTTCAAATCCTAGCTTTGCCACTTCAAGCTGTGTGACCTTGGGCAAGAGACTTCACTCCTCTTTGTTCAATTTCCCTACGTGTAAAGCACAGACAATAGTAACTCCTGTCTCACAGACTGGTGGAAGGATCCAGTGAGTTATCACCTTAGAAGACTTACGTAGTAAAATGAAAGCTTAGAACGGTGTTTGGTACACAGTAGGCACTAAATAAACAGCAGCTTTATTACACATTAAAGAGTTACATTTGGCCTGCAGACGCCCTCTCAACAGCTGGATGACCCTGGGCAAGTTATCTTACCTCACTGAACTGTTCCCTCACCTGCCAAATGGAAATCAATCGTAAGACCCACTTCATGGAGTTTCTCAAAGTTCCTCTTTATATGAAATAAAGCATGTGAATAATCATATTAACAGCTAATATTAGTTGGCCCCCTACTATGAACCATGTGCTCTATGCCCTAGGAGGCAGATGCCACAGGGCTCCTTCCAGTCAACCATGAGGAGATTCAGGCCAGACAGCTGGAGAGGCTGTTCAGGGTCTCCTGAGAGAGAGGGACAGGGCTGAGTCCGAGCCCAGGTCTGTCTGATCCTAAGCACAGACTCCTTTCTCTACCTCAGTCTACCCTTGGTCTATAGAATGCCAAGCCTATGACCACGTATGAATTCCTACGTTCCTCACAGCCCTGAACCCAAGTCTGACTTTCAAGCCCACGTTCGTTCTTGCCAGGCTATAGCATCAAGGCGAAAGCACTCTGTTCGTTAGCATCATTATAACTAGCCTGTGGCTCCCTGAAGGCTGAAGCTGGATCTTCCTCATTTTTATGTATCACCTCTGGCCTTTGAGCACTATGTCTCATATGTGACAGACGCCCTATAAATATTTCAGAGCCTGTGCCTGTGCCCTGCTAACCTATTTTTTTTAATAGGGCTTACTGGAGTGCAATTAATAAAGCACATCCAATTATTATCAGGATGACATCACTTCTCAGTATGTACCCGAAGTGGCTTTTCTCAAGAAGCTGCTTCCAATTTTCACCTTGTGAAGAGGAAGGTAACAGGGGAGTGATTCTCACGCCTAGAGGAGGAAATCGACACCCATGTGACAGCACCATATTCTTTTTATGACATCCTTTATCGGCCGATAAACTCTTGCTCAACCTTGTGGCAGGTCAACGTCTAACCGTGTCAGGCGTTGAGATGGGAAAAGATCACACAGGATCCCAAGTTCAACAGACAGAATGGCTGTACCTTTGTTCTCAAACATCAGGGTGTGGCGCAGGGGAAGAGCGGTGCAGGGAGAGGGCCAGGAAGGTGCTGCCTTCTTAGGGGCCCCGTGCCCCTCCCCTAAACCCAGCAACATTGTCCCCTCCAAGTACCTCTGGATCCACTGGTCTTTGTAGGAGGCACTGAAGGAAATGCCAGAAAAAAGCTCAGACTTGTTGAAACTCACATGAAACTGATCCCAAAATGGGCCAAAGGGATTTCCTTCCTGCAGAAAGAGAGAGATCAAAGACTTACTGAGAAGGAGGGAAAGCCTTCTGGGGATGGGGCCAAGGAATTGTGGGTGGGGGAACCCTGGTCGACTAGACTTCGGTTGAAACACCTCATAGGATGGCCTAATAGGAGTGTCACTTTATAAATCCTGAGCTGGGGACTGAGGAGAGCAGTTCAGCCTCCAGTCTGGTTTCCTTCAAATGTTCCTTGCAGTACCTAAAGGAGTCTCTTCTACTGACATGCCACATCCCACTGACCCTGCAGCACTGGTCGGGGTAGAGGAAGGAAGTGGATCTTGAATTTGGGCTTTAGATCTTGGACTAGACCTTTAGAGACTTTCAGGAGCAGCTAACACAATGCCCTTATTTTCAAAATGGAAACCAGGCCCCAGACAGGCTAAGACCCTTGTCCAAGGTCACACAGCAAGTGAGGACAGTGTCGTGGCTACAAGCCAAGCCTCCATTCTCAAATTTCATGGCTCTTTCAACTATCCTCCCTAGACTTCAGTGTAAGCACTGAAAGACACACTGGGGATTGTCTTATTCCCAAAGTGGCAGAAAATTACAAATTTCTCCTGATAAAACATGACTGTTTCTTATTTACCTGCTGAAAGGCGGGAAAGAATACAAGTTAAGAGGGTGGATAATCGATCCAAATTACCTAGGGTTGAATCCAAGCTTATTTGCCATGTGACCTTGGGCAAAATATTGAAACTCTATGTTGCACTCAGTGTCCTCTATAAAATGGGGATATTAATGGTACTTCCCTCATGGAACAGTTTGAAGATTAAGTGGGTTAATATGTGTAAAGCTCTTAGCATGTCACCTGGCATGTAGTAAGTCCCATAGAAGTATTAGTTATCATTTGGGACGCCTGGGTGTCTCAGTCGGTTAAGCGTGCGACTCTTGATTTTGGCTCAGGTCATGATCTCAGGATTGTGAGACTGAGCCCCAAGTTGGGCTCTGTGCTAGGCATGGAGGCTGCTTAAGATTCCCTCTCCCTTCCCTCTCCCCCTCCCCCTCCCCCCACTTTCTCTCCCAGTCTGGGGAAAAAAAAAAGTATTAGTTATTATTACTCTTGTGGCATTTTACAGTTTATAAGCACTTTTGTAGCTGGCCCTCATGACATTTATGAATGAGATGGAGCAGGGATTGTTGTCTTTATTTCCCAGGTAGAAATAAAGGCTCAGTGGAATCAAGATCCTCTGCGCCAACTGACACTGATGACGAATGTCAGAAATGGGACTTAAATCTCCGTCTTTCTACTCCAAGCCCTTCTAGTGCCCTTCCCCACGTAGTGCTGCCACAGTGTCTCAGGGGCCTAGAGGGCATAAGACAGGCAGAGAAGGTCCCCCAGACCTACCTTCATGGGGCATGTCTTCTTATCGGGGCTTCGCTGGGCTGCCACCTCGAAGCAGTATGCCACCCGCCTCTCAGGGGGCCAGTGAGTGGGTGCCAGCTTCTCCATGAAGTCCTCCAGGCTGATAATGCGATGGTAAGCCTGGAGGGGCTCCAGCTTGAAGTACTTCTGGTAGGACACATGGAGCTACAAGAAAAGGTGCAAAAGGAGAGGCATCTCCTCAGTATCCTAGTGACTCTTTTAAAGACATTCGTTAAAACCATACACTCCAAGACCCAGAGAGCTCAGACTATAAGCCAATGGAAAAACATCTGGAAAAGGACACCAAAGCTAGAAGAGAAAAAAAGCCTGGGAGAAATGATCTGCAAACTAACGAAGCAATAGTTGACATCTTTTATGTTCAAAAACGCTTGCTGATCTAGATGAAAAAAAGACAAACAATGTAAGGGAAAACCTGAGCAAAGGACAGAAGTGAACAACTCACAGCAAAGAAAACCCATATAGCCAATACATTAAAAAGATGTACAAACTCACTAGTAATTAGAAAAATGCAAGTCACCGTTAAAATAACACTTCTCACTTATTAGACCAGCAAAGATTTAAAAGCTTAACTTTAATTGTTAGAAAGGAAGTGGGGAAACAGGCTGCTACATATGGCTGGTAGTTGAAATGAACATTCTGGAACAATCACTTTGGAATGTGATCTTGCAGCATCTACCAAGAATTTAAAATGTTCCTTCTAGGGCGCCTGGGTGGCTCAGTGGGTTAAGCCGCTGCCTTCAGCTCAGGTCATTATCTCAGGGTCCTGGGATTGAGTCCCACATCGGGCTCTCTGCTCAGCAGGGAGCCTGCTTCCCTCTCTCTCTCTGCCTGCCTCTCTGTCTACTTGTGATCTCTGTCTGTCAAATAAATAAATAAAATCTTTAAAAAAAATAAATAAATAAAATGTTCCTTCTACCTCTGTGTATTTTCCCTGCAGAAGCTCTTCCACTTTGCACTGGGAGATGGGTACAGGTACGCTCAATGCCACAGCAGAAGTACAAGAAAGACCTCAAAAGAAGTCACACTGAAGACATTAAATTCACAACAAGGGCTGCCTCTGGAGCTGGGAGGAGGGGGTGGGACTAGCCTTGGGAGCCACGTGAGACTTTAGCTTTTCACAACTTCATCTATAATATTTTATTTCTTTTATTAAAAAAAAAAGAAAGATGAAGCAAAGAAGAAAAAATGTTAAATGATGATCACATCTAGTGGTGGGTACATGGATGGTGATTGTATTAATCCCTACGGTTTTCTGGATTTAAAAAAAAAATTCTTAGGGCACCATGGAATAGGGACACCTGGCTGGCTCAGTGGGTTAAGCGGTTGCCTTTGGCTCAGGTTATGATCCCAGGGTCCTGGGATCAAGTCCCACATTGGGCTCCTTGCTCAGCAGGAAGGTGGCTTCTCTCTTTGCCTCTGCTTGCCTCTCTCCTGCTTGTGCTCTCTCTCTCTCCCTCTCTAACAAATAAATAAATAAAATCTTAAATAAATAAATACCATGGAATAAAAATTCAGACTTTATCCTATAGGTCAGGGTTCCCAAGCATATTCCACTAGTTCATGTGGATAAAGAGTTCTGCAATGCAAAGGTTCTGGAGTTAAACAGACCTGGGAAATGCTGTGTTATGCTGACTTTTTTTTTTCTTTTTACGCTGATTTCTTTACTACAGGACTTCTCCATATGCTAATGTGTATTCTGAATCACCAATTCTGGAGGATGGGAAATTGAGACTATAATTTCCCAAACTGATTTAACCATTGCCCCCCTCCTTCATGAGCCACTGGCATTTCAACAAACAGAATTTGGGAAATCTAACTATTAGCAACAAGGTCTTGCTGAGGGATTTTATTAATTTTTTTTAAGATTTTATTTATTTATTTGACAGAGAGAGAGATCACAAGTAGGCAGAGGCAGGCAGAGAGAGAGGGGGAAGCAGGCTCCCCGCCAAGCAGAGAGCCCAATGCGGGGCTCCATCCCAGGACCCGGAGACCATGACCTGAGCTGAAGGCAGAGGCGCCACGCAGGTGCCCCTATTAATTTTTTTAAAGATTTATTTATTTACTTTTTAGGAAGAGAAAGAGAGAACACAAGCAGAAGAGGCAGAGGGAGAGGGAGGACCTCAAGCAGACTCCAAGTTGAGCACAGAGCCTTATACAGGACTCAATCTCATGACTTTGAGATCACAACCTGAGCTGAAAGCAAGAGTCAGATGCTTAACCAACTGCACCCCCAAGTACCTCTTGCTGAAGGATTTTAAACAGAAATAATAAGATATCTGACTTTTAGAAAGTTCACTCCGGTGGAAGAGGAGAGAACAAATGGATGGTAAGCTTAGGGGAGGAAGAGGACTAAGGAGGCTACTGCAATGGTCCTTTTATTTGTTCAAGTACTCACTCAACGTGTATTTTTGAGCATTAAGTCCAAGTGAAGACGGAGGGCATGGACAGCTTAGGAGAGGTAAAGGAATGTGGAGTAGAGAGTAAAAGGATTACTTCTTTCAATTAGGATGACTTCTGGTTTCCTGGCTTGGTATCCAGGTGAATGGAGGTAACATAAACTAAGGCTGGAAATATAGGCAGTGACACAGGTTTGAGAGGGAAAGATGCCAAGTTCAGTTCTGTCTTTGTGAATCTGAGGTATCTCTGGGACATCCAAATAGACTCAAGGGCTTAGGAATTAGAAACACAGGCTTATGATCAGAGGAGAGTCTGGGCCACAGATAAGATTGGGAGGTATGCAGAGAACAGTGAAAGCCACAAGACTCAATAGAAATTTACAGCAAAGCAAATAATGGTAATAATAGCAACTAATATTTATTGAGTGCTGACTTAGTGCCAGGTGCTGTACTCATCACATTTCATGGACTTGCTCATCTAATTCTAAGAGGTGGGACTATAAACCATCTCCAATTTACTGATGAAGAAACCCAGGAAGACAGACTCTAGACAACTCATCTGAGGTCACATAGCTAATAAGCAAATGGAACGAGGAGACACACGAACATTTACTTTTTATTTTTATTTATTTTTGAGAGAGAGAGAGAGAGAGAGAGAGCGCTCAAGTGAGTGAGCATATGCCTACTTGTAATCTCTGTCAAATAAATAAATAAATAAATTTTTTAACAATTTTATTTATTTATTTCACAGACAGAGATCACAAGTAGGCAGAGAGGCAGGCGGGTGGTTGGGGGGAGCGGGCTCCTTGCCGAGCAGAGAGCCCGATGCGGGGCTGGATCCCAGGACCCTGGGATCATGACCTGAGCCGAAGGCAGAGGCTTTAACCCACTGAGCCACCCAAGCACCCCTAAATAAATAAAATCTTAAAAAAAAAAAAATCAGCACATCAATGGCTCCCAGTTACAGAGGATATCCTATATCCTAAGCACTCTGCATTGATTAACTATTGGTTCTAAGAGACAGGCATACAATGTTCAAGGCATGCTACAATCCCTAACTTATTATGGGAGGTAGCCACCATTACTAGAAGCCTTTTCTACAGATGAGAAAACTGAGAGACGAAGAGATCAAGTACTCTGTCCAGGCTACATGGCTAGTTAAGTGGCAAAGACAAACTACAATCTCAAGTTCTCTGACTTTTCACCTCTAACTGATAAAAACCTCTCTAAATATAGGCATGCATAATAATAATAATAATAATAATAATACCTACACAGAGAAAAGGCTGTAAGAATGAAATACAGTTTTGTACATAAAAACATAGTTTTGGGGGCGCGTGGGTGGCTCAGTGGGTTAAAGCCTCTGCCTTCGGCTCAGGTCATGATCCCAGGGTCCTGGGATCCAGCCCCACATCGGGCTCTCTCCTCTGCAGGGAGCCTGCTTCCTCCTCTCTCTCTCTCTCTCTGCCTGCCTCTCTGCCTACTTGTGATCTCTGTCTGTCAAATAAATAAATAAAATCTTTAAAAAAAAAGGTAGTTTTTTAAAGTTTATTAAAAATTTTAAAGTCAGCGCATTAGATTAGTTTAGTTCCTACTGCCAGGCCCCTGGGGATACAGTGTGAACAAAGACAGACATGGGATCACAGAGGGTCAGTGGAAGATACAAAGAAAAAGCAAAAAATAAGAGGATGTTGAGTATCACCATGATGGTGGATACTCCAGAGCGAAACAGCTCTGGAGCCAGACTGCCTGGGTTTGTGGCCTTGAACACAGTATTAACTAACCTATGCCTCAGTTTCTCCTTCAAACTGACAATAGTACCCATCACCCTTTGACTAACCGGATGAGCAGAGGGTGGGCCCAACCAGGAGTGGAAATAGAGCTTTAGGTTCAGATCACAGGTTCTGGAGTCAGACAGACATGGGCTTGAGTTCCAGCTCTACTATTCACAAGCTGTGTGACTTTGAGCAAGTTACCTAACCTCTTGAAACCCATTTCCTCATAGGAATGTGATGATGGAGAAAAGAGCTAGTTCTCCTGCGGTGCTCATAACAGTGCCTGGCACACAGAAGGCATTGGGTAAGTTAGCCAGTTAGCCAGGGAAGAGAGTTCGGGGTGACTGGGGAAGGTTCAGAGGAGCAGGAGGTAAAGGCCAGAGAAGGACTTGGAGTCAAGAGGAAGCAGGATTGGGGTAGGATGGATAAGGGCTAAGGCCAGTGGGAGGTACTCACATTGGTGAAGGGAGGCCTGTGATGCTGGTACTCAATCCAAGGGGGTACAGCCAAGGTGCGGTTCAACAGCTTTGCAAAAGCCAGGGAGCCCAAGAAGTGATCAGCCTGGTTCCCGAAGCGCCCTGGATGGTATATGGTGGTTGAGGTAAGGCCTAGGGCATCGAGGGCATGGGGCATGCAGTATTTGGAAAGGTTGCAGGGCCGGTGGGGGGGGGGGGCAAGACACCAAGGAGAACCAGGAGAGCTGGCAGGATAGGATCAAGTCTGGACTGATCCTACTGCGTCTGACACTCAAGGCCCCTACCCTACTGCCTCAGCCGCTCCAGGTTCCTTGCCATTTCCCACCTCCCATCCTGACCCCGTGCCTTTGCTCCTGTTGTTCTCTCATCCAGGGGTGCCCTTCCACCTCTATCTCCACTCATCTGCGCATGAAGGGACAACTCCAATGCCTCATTCACCAGAATCACTTCGCCAACCCCCTGCTATACTCAATCCCCTTCTCTGCCTCCCACCTTGGATTGGAGCTATTTATAGTTCACTTTTTCTCAAATGTCCTTTCCCACTTCCTGGCCTTTGTACTGGCTCTTACTTCAGCCTGTAAATACCTCAGGAGCAAGAACCCTGTCTGATTATTTTTGTTATCCCCAGCATGACATCCATTCATTCATTCGACAAATACTGAGAAGCCACAATGTGCCAGGGTCTCTGCTTGGTGCTGGAATATAGGATTCAGCAAGAAGGATAAGGTCTCTCCCTTAGAGGCACTCACAGTCCAGCTAGAGAGACAAGTATATAGTGGTAAACAAGTATATAATGGTAAATTCTGATAATTTCAAGGAAGAAATGGAAAAAGGTCGGTGATAGAGAACGGTAAGGTGGAGATTGGTGTTGAGGTCAGCAAAGCCCTTTCTGGTGACATTTAAGCTGAGACCTGAGAATGAGAAGGAGTTGACCTGGCAGGAGTGAAGAGGAAGAAAGTGTTTCAGTCAGAGGGAATAGCAGGTTTCAGGGCCTGAGAATGTATGAGGAATGGAGAGGGAATGAGAGTGGCTGCTGCTGGGGGATCTGGGGAGGAGGGAGTGGTGGTAATGACGGGCAGAGGGCCAAATCAGCAGGGTCTGGAGTCTGGAGGGTTTTAAGAAGGAATGACTTTTACAATGACGATCCACCATCCCATCTGAATTGCATCTTTTAGATTCTCCCTTACTCTTTTCTATTTTATTTTCCCATAGTGTTCATCCTCTTCTAAGACATTATGTATAATTACTTATGTTTTATCTTTTATTGTCTGTATCTTTTGCCCATTGTATCTTCCATTGTCTGTCTTTCCCAGCTAAAATGAAGGTTCTACAAGGGCATGGTATTTTCTGTCTTACCACTGCCCTATCCCCAGAAAAGAAAACAGGGCTGGGCACAGAGCAGGGGTCCTATAAATATTTGTTGAAGGATGAAAGAATCGTCCAGAGCCAAGGCTGAGTCAGTGACATTAAGTCCTGTCCCACTAACTCCATTTACTGAACTCTGGGCTGGCTTAGACCTTGCACAAGACACATAACCTCTCCTGGCCTCGGTTTCCTCATCTGCCAATGGAAGGTTGGACACAGAGGCCCCTCAGGGCCGTTGCAACTGAGGCAGAGAGGCAAGGAGCAGGCCATGCCCCGCTCTGCGGTTCTCTCCTGGACATGTCAAGATATCTGTGGGTGCCTCAGAAGAGGGCGTTCTCCTCTCTGGGCCTCAGTTTCCCCATTTGAGAAGAGGGCTCGGGAGGCCTTACCCATGCATGGGCAGTAGAGCAGGTAACCGGCCGGGTCCCAGGAGCCTGCGGGCAGCCCCGGGAGCGGCAGAATCAGCAGCAGGAGAGACACGCGCACCAGCAGGGGCGACGATGCCCACGCGGCGGCGCCCATGACGGCTCCGGAGCCCGAGCGCGCCGCGATGCGGAGGCGGGGAGAGAAGGAGGGGCGCGAGCGTCCGCCCCGCTCCCGGCGGTCCCCACGCGCCGCCCGCGCGCCGCCCCGGCCGCTCTAGCCGGCAGGCGGGCGGGACCATAGAGAGCCCGCGGCACCGCCCCCTCCACGGCCCGAGCGCCCGCTCGCGCGGCTCCCACAATGCACCGCACAATGGCCCGACCGCCGCCACTACCGGGGCCTGAACGGGCCTGGCGGAGCCCGAGCGCGGCCCGGCCCGCAGCGCGGGGCCCCGAGCGCGGTGAGTGCCGGCGAGGGCCCCGGGGGACGGCGGGGAGCGGGGCGGGAGGCCGTCTCGCTGTGCCCGCGCGCCCGGCACCCGGAGCGGCGGCGCCTCTCATCTCGGGCCCCACGGCGCGGTCGCCCACACCCCCGACTGGGGGCCCCCTTCACGCCAGTTCGGGCCCGGATAGGCCCCATGGTGACGAAATCTCTCCGCGGATCCGATACCTGGGTGGGGGGACCGGAAGAAACCCCACTGGTCCCCTTCCTACCGAGACCTGGAGACTCAGCCCTGAGGGTCCCCTACTCTTGACCCCCAGGTTCCCTGGAGACCCAGATAACGCGCTGCTGACCTTACGAGGGACCCGGGTCTGGGGGACGCAGATAAGCTGCACCTGCTCCCTCCCCTCAGACACGCCTACCCGGACCCACATAACCCCCTTTCCTGCTCCAAATACTCCGCTTTTTACTCTCTATTTCGTTTTCCAGAACCACACAACCCATTTTGAGGCTTCCGTCAAATACCCGGTTCTGGAGAACCCCAGTAATCTCCATCTATAATTCCCTCCTCAGTGACCATACCCCCAAACCTTAGATATCTATCTGGTTACCCTTTTGAGACTTTGGAAGTTCAGAGAATTCACTTCTGTTTTCAACTCCTGGAATCCTTCAGCCCTTACAGTCCCCCATCTCTTTTGGGGGTGGAGGGATGTGGTCCCTTAGAGGCTAAGTTAACTTGCTAATGATTCTTTATCATACTTTCCCTTCCTTCCCATCCCTGAGGCCTCCTCCAGACTTCTCCCTGAATTTCTGTCCCTTCTCTGGCAGGCATCCACTCCTGTCTCTCCCAGCTCCAGGGGAGTTGAACCTCTTCCCCCACACAGTGGAGTGATCTAAGAAGCTGCCCAAGGAGCCTGGTTATTCCCTATAAATCCAGTCCCAGGCTCTGGCCCCAGCTGGTGGGGGAAAGGCACCTGTAACGTGGAAGATAAGGGGACAACTGGTGTGGGGGAGTTGTTGGTGCTTTCACCTCCAAGAGTAGCCTGTCTTCTGGCTTGTGTGTTTTTCCACCTGTTAGTTTGGGACTGTGATAGAGACTGGCCTTGGATTTCTAACCCTGCCCCTCACGGTGAGGCCACCCCATTGTCGGGGGAGTCCTTGGGGGTGTCCCACCAGGTTTCCTGGTAATGAAAATGGGGCTATAGTGAGTTGCAGCCATTTGCTCAAGGCCTCCTCAGGAGTGAGAGGCAGCGGGAAGGGAGGAAAGAGTGAATCAAAGGGACTGCAAAGAGGGCCCATCTATAGTGACAGAAGAACTAGCAGCCCGAGAGTAAATCCAACCCCTGTTAATCCTGTTTGATGTCTCTTGGAATGATGCAAGTCATTGAGACTCTCCGGCCTCCCTGTAATTTAATTCTCCCACCACTTTGGAGTGTGTGTGAGGGAGGGAGGGAGAGGGGCGGCTCTTCCCATTCCTCCCTTTCCTTCTCACTGTTTTCCAGCCAGTCCATGTGTCATTTGGATTGGTTTCTGGTGCTCAGGTCAAGACCTGGTTTTTTTTGTGTGTGTGGTTTTTTTTCTCTCAGTCTGTTTATAATTTCCCAGTTGCTATTTTGGGTTCTGCTCAAGGGAAGATTCTGTCCACCCTAAGGAACGTTCCAGGGTGTGTTCCCGGGTGTGTTTCCTCCTCGGCGGGTGTTGAATTGAGTTCTTCAGATCCCCAAGTAGCTCTTGGGCTGGAGGGATAAAAGCTATTTTAGGGTAGTCACTGAAGTGGAGCTGTTAATCCTCTATGGGTCTCTCTAGTTAAGAACACTTAGAGGTTAACCCTTCTCTTGCTGCGGGGGTGGGGGAGGCTTCTCCACGGTTTTGGGAGGGTTGTGAGAATTTCCTGCCGCAGCAGAAGGTGGGATAGGAACGTGCAACTCAGTACAAAGGCAAAGATAATAGTTGCCTTTTGTTGGGTACTTACAGCACGCCAAGCACTACGCTGTGCCCTTTGCATACCTGACTAAAATAATCCTCACAACAAGCCTGTGAGGTAAGTATTTTTAGCTTTACAGATGAGGAAACAGGCTAATAATGGAGAAAGAACGCAGTTTCTATAGAGATGATGTAACACCATAAAAACTATCGTTTCGTCAGAGGGCAGCAGGCATCATGGCACACAGCAGGACAGACAGACTAGGGAGCAGTTTGTCTCCTTGCAGCTTCCAGAGAAGGCCTTCGAGTTTTCGGAAGGCATTTGTGTGTGGGGTACAGAGCCTTAGTAATAGAAGAGATTCCTGAGGTGAGAGAACTGCGGCCCAGGATGTGGTGGTGGAGGAGGGGAGCGCTGCGGGGGCTGGTTAGAGGGGATGTGCTGCGGGTTGACTGTGAGGGAAAAGGGGAAGGCTGCATTCTGGGGAGATGTTGTGAAGGGAAGGAAACTCACTCAGAGGCCTGAGAAGTAACATTAAAAGGGGAAAAAAAGAAGTACTACTCGGGCCCTGTGCGGAAAAGAGGCAGACACAGTGTAGACCTCAGAGACAGCAGTGCATGTACTCACATACTTTAGATCAGATACTTCATCCTCCATGAGACTACTGCTATAGGTAAGGAGAATAAATGTTCAGTTTAGAAATTGAGGAAACGGAGATTCAGAGAAACAAAGTAACCTGCCCATGGTTTCACGGCCAGTGAGTGGCAGCTCTCCTGATAGCAAGTCCAAGGTTCTTTCCATGCTGCCTCCCTCTTCAGATCAGGCGCCAGAAGGAATCTTTGGATGAAAATATACTGAGTTATACCAGTAACTGGGAGGGATTGATTGTGTTTGTTTTATGGGAACAGGTTCCGTCACCTTCTCTACAGTTGTTAAGGTTAGAGTGTGAGACCAGAAGAGCAGCTTTGAAAGAAGCAGAATTCTTTCAGTTTTGCCGAGGAAGAAGTCTGAAGGAGAGGGGCCCAGGAACTTTCCTGGAGGAGAGGAGTTTGCAGACAAAGGACAGAGGGAGAGAGACTAGATTCCCAAAAGGGTTCCTAAGGTAACAGCGGCAGCTTTGGTTATCCAGTAGGCTGTTGGTGACTATAGGTAAGGACTTCCACTGTGCCTTTTTTTTTTTTTTTAAAGATTTTATTTATTTATTTGACAGAGAGATCACAAGTAGGCAGAGAGGCAGGCAGAGAGAGAGGAGGAAGCAGGCTCCCCGCTGAGCAGAGAGCTGATGCAGGGCTAGATCCCAGGACCCTGGGATCATGACCTGAGCCGAAGGCAGAGGCTTTAACCCACTGAGCCACTCAGGCGCCCCTCCAGTGTGCCTTTTTAAAAGGGTAGGGGGAATAGGATCAGGGTGTTGGCTGTTTCCTTTTAAAGTCATAGCCCCATTAAACCCAGATCAAGGCAAGCACATGGCTGCTTCCCTCCTTTGGTTCTGTCAGTACAACCTCGTGAGCTGTCCTTAGCCACCACCGGCCTCTTTCCTAGAAGCCCATTACTCACGCTTTCAGAAGCAGCGTACTAAACTGCTGTGTCTTGTTTGTGCTTGTTCAGGAGAACAGAAGAGGTGGACGTGTGGGAGGTGGGGGACGTCCTGTTCTCTTTCTGAGGTTGTGTGGAATTTCCAGGGCTAGGCTCCCCTCTCACACTGGCCAAAGTGATGCGATTTGCTTCCCTCTGGCTGCCATTCCCAACTTTCCAGGGGCTGAGGTGCATGATTTTGGGTAAGAAGGGGGAGCAGAATTTGACTTTGAGGGTAGGAGAAATTCCCCTCCAAACTAGATGTTTAAACTTGTGCTTGTTTTCTACCCAATTCCAAGGTGCGTAGTAATCACTGGTATTATAAACAGGTAATTCCACCCTTGAGAAGGAGGAAGGACTTAAACCATGAAAGGCAGACGTCAGAGGCCTTTGAGATTTATAGTGAAGCAGGCACATACACCACGATGACTTGAAGGCTCAAGTGGGACTAGTTTTTAGTACTGCCTACCCCTCCCCAGCACATGACTCATGCAAAATGCAGCCACCTTTGTGCCGATCTTTCTAGGCAAATCTCCACTCGTGATGGGGAAGTGTTTATCATATTATATTGCAGTGTTTCTTCAACAAGAGGAATGGTTCCTGAACAGGACGTAGCTCATGTTAATGATGAGCAAAGCTCTCTGGGGCATGAACCCGCTGATCCCATCATCTCGTTCACGGCCAGTCTGTGGGATGAATGGTCACTGTAAGCAGCAGGTGCTAACGAGCTGAGCAAGCATTCTGTGGCCCACAGCTGTTTGTGTGGTTGGAGCCTTCCCCAGATTCTCATGGACAATCCCCAGATACCCCCTTTGCTCCCTTTACATGGAAAAGCCTCATGACCAGATTTTTGGCATGACCTCTTCAAAAGGAATCCCCCTGTTGTAGCAAGTTGCTTTGCAGTTGGTAATCTGTGATGAGTTTGTGAGTGAATATGGGTCTGTTGTCCCCCTTTTGACAGTCCGTACAGTAACTCCCATCCTCTTCTTCCTTTGAGTTCATGTCAGGAAAAAAGCTCTGTCATCTTTGCTCCAGTTTTCCCCCTTCCCACACGCTTCCCCTCCCCCTGCCTCAGCAAGAGAAAGGATCAGACTTCACGATATTGGCTCCCCACTTTGGAAGGGCTGCGACCCCAATTTAAACCCGAACTTTCTGAGCATAAGTTAGCCTTGCATCAACTTGCATTCAGTGACTCATTCACCCACCTAAAAGTTGGGAGTCCTTTTCTAGATGCTAAGTGTGTA